GGCTGTCTTCAAGCACCACATTTGGAGGTGAAATAACATGCTAAGGGGGGGGATGAAAGGCGATTCTGCGTCTTTGTTTCTCTGGATCTAAAAATAGCTCATGCTGAGCAGGCAGTGAAGCTGAGCTGCAGTCCCTTCTCTTGCTCCCTTTTTTCATTCTTATTCCATCTCTCACTTTCTCACACACAAAAATGCATCACCCTAACGGTGCACGGGAGGTGGCTTGGAGAGCCAGCGCGGAGCGGCATTTTGGGCCAAGCTGTTCCACCCCTTTCTTTAAATTGCTGTCAACACAGAGCACCTTTGGACGCAGGGCCCGGTTTTAATATTTATGTGCTGACTGGCGTGTCACCTGTGCATCCATCCGCTGAAAGAAATGGCAACATGAGACTCCAGTCTAAAGGTTGGGATCCTCCAATGTACACATTAACATCAGCTGCTCAAAGTTCTGCATGTGAACTCTTCAGAAAGCGGTCAGAAGCAGGCGTTGCTTGTTCTGACAGGTTTGCAAACACCAAAAAACAGAAGAAACAAAGAAAAAAAAAACTGACCCACTAGTGTCAAATTATTTGTCCTTATCTAAAATATACCCACTAATCTTCTGTTCATGATCTTTCACACACACACAAGAAAAAGGCATACTGCAGTTGCTAAGGCACTTGATGAAGCCTGGTCTTGTTATTGTCCTGCAGATTAGTTTCCCGCCCACACACACACTCCTAGTCTCACAATTATAGAGGGAAGCTGTGCTAACCCTGTTTTAAGGGGTAACAGCTGAAACACAAGCAGACTTTGTAAACCAGGGGTTTCTGCACACATACATGCAGACATACCGTACATATATATCTATATATTCACATACAGTATAGAGTATGTGCACGTGGGTCAGGTGAAAATGGGTGAGCAGGATTTACACTTGCAGAAAAAGGTGAGTCGATTCACAATATTTGCCTCTGGAGTGAATCATGTATTGCGTAAAGGCTGGCGCTGGAGATGAGGAATTTGCTTCACATTTCTTCACTTGGCAGCCAAAACACCCTCACACAGTGGGAGTGATGGAGCACATATTTCTGTTTCTCATGGCTCGAGGAGAGAGCACCAGAGGCAGAACGTGGGAAATCACTCGGAAATTAACTAATGGAGACAAACAGCACTGGTGCCATGTTTTGTGAGATTTTATAGCAAAGTTTTGTGTTGTGGTCCTTTGTTTTTCCTCGTGGAGCTCCATCTCGACTGGGGATGCATCAGCTCTGGGCTGATACTGTCCATCCATCAGTTTTCTTCTGCTTAGGTGTGAAGAAAATGGGTTTGATCCTGGAAGCTTATATTGTGAAGTGGCAGTGCTAACCACAACACCAACCATCACCCGGAACCTCGGGTGATGGTGATATTTGCATTTTTATTGCAAGAAAACAATAGGTTTTTCTGCTTGGCCTCCCCTCTACACCAATCAGTCACGACAAATGCCGACTGCTTCTGCTGGAGCTTTCTTCCTGTTAATAGAGAGTTTTTCTTTTCCACTGTCACCAAGTGCTCGCTTGTAGATAGTCGTCTGACTCTTGAGGTTTTCTCTCCATTACCTTGCAAGATAAAGAAGCATGAGGTGATTATTGTTGGGATTTGGGAGCTATATAAACAAAAATGTATTTATTGTTTGTTTGTTTTTTTTTATTTTTTTCTCCACATACCCAGTAACACAACACAACAATAAATATTGGCCACCGGCATATCAATATCAGTCTATTTGGCCAATAGTGGATCCGTAGCGTAGTGATTTGTATGATTGCTCTGCCAAGCAAACAACCCCTGGTTTAATCATGAGGGGACACACAAATCCCTTAGGGGTTGTGTCAGGAAGGGCACACAGTGTTAAAATCTACCAAATCAAATGTGCATCGCTATCTGCTCTGGGGACCTCTTGTGAAGAAGGATAGGTGAAAATAGCTTCAGTCAATTTGGCCACTATCTGTCGCTATCAGTATTAAGTTGCTATATCAGTGCATCTCGAATCTAATATCTTCTGCACTTAAACGTCTTGTTACATATTATCAACCCATACATACATGTGAATGCATGGCATAAGGTATTGGAAAGGAATTTTCTAATGGACAAGACGAGCTCTGAGATTATTGAGTGGGAGGATCAAACTGCTCATAGGCTGGGGAGTAAAAAAAAAAAAGCACTGCACTATCATACTTTATCTGCTACAGGCAAATCCATCTCTCAGCTACACAGTTAATAAGATACAAATGAATGCCCGTTTCACACGGCTTCCTTCTGATTACATGCAAATACTACACTACTGCTGTATTATCAGCGCTGATTTGGTTACAGATGATGCGGCAGCTTTGGCAGAACTCTATTTAGCTGTGACTAATGACCAGTCGCTGGTAATTACCCACACATTACTGTGTTGTGGCGGTCGGGTTATGAACACGTGTGAGAATTAAAGTGTTCCACTCAAACACCATTGTTAGTGGTAACCGGGAAATGCAGTGTAACAAAGGCAGTACTAAATACTGTGTAATAGACATCTCACCTGGTGTCGTCACCCCGGTGTGTAAGACTTAAATGGGGGCATTCGTTTGTCACATTCAAACAATTCACTTTGTAATACAGCACACATTAGATTGCATTATGAAGATGGATTTGTTTTTAAAGCAGTGTTTTTTAAAGACACTATAAATCTTAAATGATTACAGTACAGCGTGACTGTGATTTTCATCGTGCACATGGCCGGAATTAGCATGATTATGGATTATGTGTGCAGCTAAAAAAAAAGCGCTCTGATAAATCTGTGTAAAACACAGATTGCAATGATGATGTAAGCTGTTGTTGACTTTCCCAGTCTGAATGACTGAGGAAAGGATAGGGGGTGGGGTGTCATTAATCCAGGGCCAGTGGTGACTCCCCAAGAGAAAATGGGGCGTAGTGGGGGATGGGCGAGGACACTGTTATGACTGGTGCTTGGCTGCGGGACAAACTTACGCTGAGGCCTTGGTATGTTTTTTTTCCCCCCTAATTCCCCCCCCCATCTTATCGCTCGGTTTCTGCGTGGAAATGCGGCTCCATGTTGGCGTGAACATATGAAACGGGCGAAGACATTATATTTAATCAACTCCGAGGACAGTTTCAGCATTTGCAAAACCCGGCGTGATTTTTGGTGGCTTTTTTTTGAGGGAAATAGGTTAGTTACCGCTCTATGGTTGTGTTTCAATTACATGTGGACGGAATTAGAAAATACCCTGTTATTCTAACATGATTGAGCTATTAGTTTTGATTATTTAACGGAACACACGTGGAATATTTTTACATAATGGGCTCCCGTCGTCACGGGTTAATCTTTATATTGAGCTTTAGTCCGCGCCGCTTTGAAATAACAGTTGTTACAGGAGCTCATTTTTGCATGTCGGGTCACTCCAATGTGTCTAACGTCTGAAGCCGTTACAGCCTCTCAACGCCTACCTTTAGCTTTAATATTATAACCTTATCGTAGTTCATATATGTGGGAAAACCACCATTCTTGCAGTCGGTTAAAGAGATGACACGGTTTGACTTGAACACGAGAGCTGTGGAAGATATCGCCAATTGAGAGGTTTTTGTCCAAGTAGGTAGGAAATTGTAGCTAACTTGTTAGCATAGCATGCTAGGTTAGCTAGTTAGCTTGTTGGAAGGCTCAGAGCGCCAGCGGGCTGACGACCTCACTGTATTCGTTTGAAATGCAGTTTCAGAGAAGCTAACTTTACTCTGTTGTCGTGAATTGCGTATATTTTTGTATGAATAAAAAAAAACTTACGGGTTAATAGAACTTTAAAATATTTGATTAGCAGATGCGGCTAAGTGCTTGTGAGGAGCATTAAATGAAGTACAGACCGCCTTGCCTGGCTGGCATGTGTACTGACGGGTACGGCCGCCGCTGAGGCAAAACTAATGTTAACTCGCACGTTAGCTTTTGATTAGCTTTTATCACTGCATACTAGACACCACTTTAAAATTGCATCTACACAACTTTGAACTATTCTTTGGTGGTGAAGTTAAAGGGAATGAAACGCAAGTAATTAGCCTTCATTTGACAATTATATCTGGAATGCTAAGGCCGGTAGCGCCGTTTCGCATCTCCCCGTGACACATGACATGTGGACAATTGTCAGCCTACCTACCTACAAATACAGCAGGAACTATTTAAGTCTATTTATTGCTACTCTGTTAATAGATGTGCTGATAGTAGAGAGTTTATTTTAAACAGAGTTGTCTTAAAGGCACTTGGGGGCAGTTTGAGTCATTTATGAGCACACACTGTGCTGATAGTGACTTGTCACACACCAAAGTTCAACTCATTCATTCATCGCTAGCTCCCTGCAGGCTAACATGATGACAAATGTATTTAACTTGGCTCCAGTCAGACAGACGACCTTTCGCCTAAAATGGTAACCAAAAAAAATCTGATTTGCCCAGTTGAAAGTACTAATATGCAAAATACCACACGAAGAAGTGAGCTATTGTTTGTTAATATTCTAGGCAACAGCCGCCTTTATTACATTGAATCAACAGTGGAACATCTGTATTTCGTTTCCTTTTTACTGTTTAAGTGTATTTAAGGCATGCGTCTCTTTTAGAGAAGTACTGCAGGGATTGGTGCCAGGCATGGCACACATATCCATTTGGTGTATTCAGCTTTTTGCATTGCTGACCTAGATTCTCTCATTGTTTTGTGACACGCCCCTTCCTTCAGAGCATTTTACTCAGGTTGCCTTCTCATCCACTTGCTAACAAGCCATTGCTAAAATGTTCGTTCTCAGTAGGGTAATTTGTCATGACACTGATAGGGAAACTGTGTCCCACGTGAATGTGTGGCAGGGCCTGTCTGGTTCTCAGAAAGCTGGAGCAGATTATTTACCTCCACTACATGGGGAGAGTTGGGCTGCGAGTAATAAGGGTGCCACTCATGAGTGGCATATCAAACTTAAAAGACTTTTCATATCAAACTTAAAAGATATGAAAATATGTTTTGTTGACTTTGTTTGTTTGTTTTAAGGAGTGATTACACACCAAGCAGCTTTTGTATGTATAATGAACTGTAGTGTAGTTACTGATTTTGTAATGGGGCATTTATGTTTGTATTTTTCTTCTCCTAGGGGCTGAAAGTTGTTTCCGAGGACAAAAGCGCTATGATGCGCCTCTGAGGATATCACGATCACATGGGTAACACATATCACTATTTATTGTCCTTCCTTTGCCCTCCCACCCCCTTCCGTAGGTATTGCTTGGTGTCTTTCTCTTGGTTGTGTTGAAAATTATATCGCTAATGCCTAGTGTAGGGACTCTTCTAAAGAAGAGCACAGCAGTCTTTTATCTGTGGTCTAACCAGAAGTCTAAAGTATGGAGCAGGATTTGGGCTTATTGCGGTAATTTCAGGTTTAACCCAGTGTTTGTCAGTATTACAAAGGGGTTGTATTCGTACAGGGTTACATCACCGTAGTAACTTATGCTGCAGATATAACCTATTTACATTTGAGATAAGAGATCAGCAGGTACAAAATCACTACATGCTGACCAGTCAGTTCTCTGTAAAAACAAACAAACAAAACGTTTCATCACTCTTTGAAAATCCCTCTGAACTTGGTTTGTGGATAATACTTAGGGCTAGAGTGTTTATTTTCTTCCTCCTTCGTTTTTTTTTCTCCTTGTTGTTCTATTTGCCTTAATACGTGAAGCTGACACTTTCTCTAAGCCTACTTTTGAATTCTGTTTTTATAATTATTCTTTACTTGCTGTTAAACACCATCAGTGCTGGAGTTGAAAAAAGAAAATAGTCTTACACCCTAAACATGATTTAGTCGTTCTGATCATCCCATGTCCTTAAGGTGTAACACTGAGAAGTCCCTTAACTTACACAGTATTTTTTCCAGCTTTTCTTCCTTGCTTTAAATAAGCTGCACTTTAAGAGTTACTTTTAGCAACTCTTTTTCCAGTTTCACTGACCAAAGCACTTAAACTACACACACATTTATACAGTACTTTCAGTACTGTAATTTGCCCCTTAAGAGCACTCTTGTAGCTGATTTGTTGGCAACAGCTGTGTTCCTTTCAGCCTGTATTATATATATTCATATTTAATCCTGGGAATGTTGAAATGACTACTTATGTGGTACAGGTCCTAGTAATAGGAATGTGAAAGAAAATGTTGAGAATACAGCATTAATAGATATCACCAGGAATGTCCTAAAATGCTTGGATTTTAATTAAAGTTGATGTTTGTTAATGATGTGAAATATTTATTTAGAGAATACGTCAATAAATCCTCCCGCTGCTTTTACAGAACACCATTGATACCATGTGTCATAGGTTTACAGTATGGGAGTGTCTTTGCAGGGGTTTTTTTTTTTTTTTTTTTTTTTTTCTTTTTTTTTTTGTACGGCTGACTCGTATGTTGTGTTTTTACACCTGTACAACTATTTTAAACATTTGGTGGGTGGTCATTGAAACTTCATCAGCTTGGTCTGCTGAATGTCTAGTTTTAAAAGAATAAATGAGGCTGAAATGAGAACCAGGGAAACTGGAGAGAGAGAGAGAGCAAAGTGGCATGTAGCATGAAATATATGAATAGTTTGTTTATGACTTTAAATGTAAACCAGTGCTGCCAAATTATTATTATAAGAAGTTATTTTATGCTTGTAATCTCTAAATTCCTGCAGTTAATCAGGCTCAGTTTCATGATAAGTCACATATTTAACTCCATACTTTATCTTTAGGAATATCATGTTGATGTTAGTGAAGCTAATAAGAGAGTGAATTATCTGAAGATGAAATGCAGACTAAGAAAACTCACACAGACAGTGGAATATCAATGACATGCAGGAAGTTTAAGTGAAGGATCTGAGTCTTCTCGTAAACGAGGGGGAGATATTGAAGGACCTGCCATTGAAGACAAGCAGTATCACTGATTGAAATTTCAGGGGGTGGTGAATACATTAGAGGTTTAATATCACAACTCTATTATCATTTGTACTGGTGTAGCGGTTAACATATTTGCCTTCCACGCAAAAGATCCCAGGTTCAACACCAAGAGGGGACACAGTCTTGGCCTCAGGAGTTAAAAGGTAGTGGACTCCTAACTGTGAGTCAAGCTTGGAATAAGGGCGCAGCTGGAAGTACCTTCTCTTTGTTGGTTCTTCCTTTTTGACCTCAGAGTTGTTCAGTCTGTTTTTCTATGTTTAAAATGGCTTTACTGTCTCCTCCACTTCTCATCAGGCCCTTGCCTAATTAAGAGTGGAGTGGGTTGTCAGCTTTTTTATTGAGGGATCCCCTCCCCTCAGTGTTATGTGTGACTGAGCCTGCAAAGATAAATAAGCACATTTGCAGGTGCAGTCACATTGAGCCCTAAATTGAAAATCCACACAGCATCCAAAAATGTCCTTCTTTTTTCTCGCATCAATGAATAATTGTATTCTATTTATTTATTTTAAAAGTAGAACCTTGAGTCTTACATTAGCTGGTATAATGTTAGCATGTAACCAGCTGTTGTTGTTGTTGTCCAAAGATGGGAAGGTGGCATGTCTAATTTGCTAAGAATATACAATTGTAACATGTTTTCTTGTGTTAGAGCTCTGACTGCAGTTTAGGAGATGAAGCTTGAGGTGAGAAGAAAGTATGAGGTGGAAATCAGGCAGGGGAGAGAGGAGTGATGGAGGCGATATGATGAAAATAAAAGAAGGCAAGGCAACATGGTGGCTTCCACAAACCAATGCCAATATGTATTTGTCTATGTATTTATGTATTCATTCTAAGTTGATGAGGATGCATCAGTTTGTTAGAAAACTGAATCAAATCACTTTTATTGTCACATCACATGTGCAGGTACATTGGTACAGTACATGTTAGAGATGGCACGATACCACTTTTTTATGTCCGATACCGATACCGATATCATAAATTTGGATATCTGCCGATACCGATATGAATCCGATATAGTGTTTTTTAATCAACAAAACTGTTTTTTAAATATCTTGCTGCATTTTGTATAAGTTCATACTCAAGTTTAAAACAACAACTACACTAAAGCTATTCTGTTATACCTGTATGCAAAAAAAAAAAATTTCATAGTTCAGCAATACTGATCAATCTAATAAACTTAAACCTACACCATCCTCCCTATTCTGGTATTTTAAAGAGTACTTAGCATAAATATTAAGCAACCTAACTAATAGGGTTCCAACTCCCAGCAACAACAAAAATAAATAAATAAAAAATAGGGAACCACCCCTCACGCTCCACCTCATGATGCTTAATCGACGTAATCAACCTTAATTTGATGCAGTGTGAAAAAAAATGCACAGAAATCAATTATTTTTCAAGAAATATTAAATAGATTCAACATCTTTCTTCAACAAAATTGCAGACTGCACAGATGGTACCTTCCCAAAGGAAAAAGTACTATAGCTTACTAGGGTATATTAGACTTAACAGTTACTATATACAGTAATGGACTTCTATACATTTTACATCAGATTAAAACTTTGGGTGTAAGATTCAGATAAATATTAAATAATTAAAAGCTCGACATTTTAAATGAGAATAAGAAAGAAAAGTATGTCTTTGTGCCCCCTTTTCCCTGTTAATGCCCTATCGGCCCCCCTGGCTAAACTTTGCTAGATCCGCCCCTGCACAGTTACCAGCCGTCAGCTACGTAGAAAAAGATCCTCGAGTAGAAAGTAATATTAAATAAATTCTAACAACAGCTGATCAAGCTTAAACGTGCTGCTGTTGTTCAGCCGCTGGTTTCCTCTTTCTGGTGCAAAGTGGGCCAAAAACAAACAAGAGACACGGACTCGCGACAGAAAAGCCGATCAGCTGATCATTAAGCAGTTTCATGATTGAAGTAGCAGCCGGAGAGCGAGAGGCAGTCGCTCGTTAAGCTTAACGCAGGAATGCTTTACAAACATTCAGAGATGGACTTACACACTTGCTTTACTTCTCTCGGGGATAACTTTGTCGGAGATGAAATGCCGGGTTGCTAGCGAAGCTCCAAATGCTATCCAGACCACCGACAGGTCCCGCATGCCACAGCCGCTCTATCACGTGATGCATACTGCTCCGACGTGCTAACGTTCTGAGGTGAGTTACGGCGTGTTGCAAGTTTTGTGAGGTGCTTTCGTGATATTTAATGGATCGGATTACATTTTTTATTTTTCTCCGATATCCGATCCAGTAATTTAGGTCAGTATCGGACCGATACCGATAGTAATATCGGATCGGTCCATCTCTAGTACATGTGAGTGAAATTCTTGTGTGCGAGCTTCACAAGCAACAGAGTTGTGCAAAATACAATAATGTAAACAAGCAAAATACAAGAATGGCTACATCTGAAACTAATAAATATATGTACAATATATAATAGTATATGCATTTCTGGATGTGTATACTAAATATTTTTCTGTGTGTGTGTGTGTGTGTGTGTACACATATTTTACAAATTAAATAGAGTAAACAATAAATAAAATATATAAAAATATACAGAGTTGAGACATGTGCAAAACAGTGGCATTACTGTACAGTATGGAGTGCATAATGTTAAAGTTCCAGTAGTGAAGCTGAGGTGTCTATGAAGTGTTCAGCAGTCTGATGGCCTGGTGGAAGAAGCTGTCTCTCAGTCTGCTGGTCGGGACCGGATGCTGCAGAACCTCCTTCCTGATGGAAGCAGTCTGAACAGTTTATGGCTGGGGTGACTGGAGTCCTTGATGATCCTCCCCGCTTTCCTCAGGCACCGCTTCCTGTAGATGTCTTGGAGGGAGGGAAGCTCACCTCCAATTATCCGTTCAGAGCACCGCACTACTCGCTGGAGAGCTAAATTACACACCCATCTGTGTATATTTATTAGTGCCATAATTTTTTTTCTGTCAGATAATCTCGAATTACTTATTCTAGCTTTAATCTTACTGTGAGTGGCTATGTGACAGACGTAGACCTGTTAGTTATTGTGACTTCATGTTGTCTTGGAAGCGATACATAAATGTTAAAAGGTCTAAACTATTAAGATTGCCATGAAAGTCTTTACAGAAAAGTGACCATGACTGATATTCAGACGAGAAACCAGCATGTTCAGATGCTGTCAGATTAATCAAAAGAAATGCATGTCTGAAAGGGTTTTGGGTAGACAGCTGACTTATGATGCTTAAGCTTTGGGAGTTATGTCTCTGAGCTATTAAGCTGCTAATTAAAATTTCATAACAAGCTTGAAAGTTAACTAAGAGATACTCATAACTCTTTGCTCACCATTTAGACCTGACTTGCATTCAGCTTCTATTTATGTTCACTTTTAAAGACGCGGGTGGCTGCTGGAGTTTTCTAATACTCAGACTGTACGCCACATCAGTTCAGAAATGGGAAGGAGTCAAAACTGGAAGCAAAGACATTGGCGAAGTTATTTTTCCACAAGGTCTCGTGTTTTAAACTATTGACACATCCCCTTTTGTATAATCTGTGAATCACTGAGCCTCTGTATTGGCGGTAAAAACCAACACGATTGTACACTCAGGTTCTGCACCCAGCTGTGGAGGCACAAGCTGGGTTATAATAATCAAGAGGTTGAAGTGACACCAAAACTGCTGCTGTCACCAGCAGATGTGATGTCAGGTTTGTGAGCATAAAAGCTTACACAGCAGGAGTGCTGCATCAGCTTACATTTATTTGTGCCATAACCATCAAACAGAGATTTTAAGGTGAAGACAGTGCTGTGACAGTAATACACTGGTGGCAAGGGGTGCATATTTTATTGAAATGTGTTGTTAGTTGTCATGTTTTGTTTCCTTCAGTAGAGCTTATCGGAGATTGTGATTTCTTTCAGGCTTTTTGCTAAGTTCTAGTCATACTGCTTCATTGTGAGAAAATGTATCCCGCAGGACTTTCTGACCACCTTGTTATGGATTACTGAAGGACTTGTACCAGATTCCAGCCCTTTTGGTTGAGTTGGTCTTGGATCTGAGCCTCTGGGATGTGGCAGGAGACATGTTGACTTTTTCAGCAGGCTGGCATCGTGGAAACAGTAGATGTTCTGTCCCTCGTCCAGTCCCCTTGTTTATTTCCACAGTCCTATTTAAACAGTGCAGGTTCTGCATGAACAAATATGGAGGACAGACACAAGTACTCGATGGATTATTGCCGAGGTTTAAATCCCATCTTTCCCAGACGTTTCAGTCTAAAATACCCTGTCTGCCTCGTGAAGGCGGCTGGTAATTATTTCCTGTTGTAGGTTAATGAATGGAAACTGGTGCCCTGCCTAGAGCTAAGTGGTTTCTGCATCCACAAATAAAGAGGAACAAGATGTCGTCATTTATGAAATGACATTTGCGATTGCCTACTTCTGTTTTTGAATATCCAAGATGTAGGTCAAGCAAGTTAATTTATTTTTAATGATTTCATTTAAGGATTCATTTTCAGTGCATGTATGACCCTTTTAAAACTGATTTAGTGCGCCAGAATACCAACTAATGTTTTTGCAGTCCATTTATGTTGTTGTTGATTTTAACACATGAGTGATCGAGATGTGTACCACTAGAACTCGTTTGCACTTCACTTCTGCAGTGTCTAATACCACCGGCTTTTAATGAACTCTGTGCTCTGTGCTTTACTTTTACAGGCTCCTATCCTGTGCTGACCCAATGGTTTAATCACCAGGACTAAAAATGAGCATAAGCAGTGATGAGGTTAATTTCCTGGTTTACAGATATCTGCAGGAGTCTGGTATGTCCAACAAATCAATATTTGATCAAACAGCTCTGCTTGCTGTTGTAGTAATCGCACTGTTAGTAGTTTTAATGAATAACTTTTAATCTTGCAGCATTTGAGTCTGTGGAAATGAACTTTGACTTCATCCTACTTTTTGCATGATCCGTTCTTCCCGTAGGCTTCTCTCACTCTGCGTTCACCTTTGGCATAGAGAGCCACATCAGTCAGTCCAACATCAATGGAGCCTTGGTGCCCCCTGCTGCCCTCATTTCCATCATTCAGAAAGGCTTGCAGTATGTGGAGGCTGAAGTCAGCATCAATGAGGTCAGGGTCTGTCTTTGCATTGCTATCGACTGATTAGTTCACACTTGAAACATGCTGGAAAGAATAGGTGTAGTGTTTACTTATGTGTCGATTGCTCTGATAACAGTGTGACCACTTCAGTTAGAAATTCTTTTTGGAAATCATGAATGCCAGACCACCTGGCTTGTTATGAACACACTGTTAAAAAGCCAGAATTCATGTTGTTATGGAAGGGGTGAATCTTCAGCAATAATGCTGCTTTGCTTATTTCAGCAAGGCAATGCCAAACACATGCTGGCCGTGTCACAGCTGCTTGGCTCTGTTAAAAGAGCCTGGGTGCTAAACGGAGCAAGTAGTTTCAGTCAGACCTGTTCCTCTTTATCATATTCAGTTTTTCAAAACTAAGATGGCTACTGTCAACGTGCTAATCTTCCAGCTTCCCCCCCCCCCAGTTTTTTCCCCCAATCATTCCAACTCCTTTGGTAATGGGGTTAAATAACACTGTATGTTCTCTTTGTAGGACGGCACCTTATTTGACGGGCGGCCAATCGAGTCCTTGTCTTTGATTGATGCCGTAATGCCAGATGTGGTCCAGACCAGGCAGCAGGCCTACAGAGACAAGCTGGCCCAGCAGCAGGCGGCAGCGGGCAGTGGCAGCAGCACGGGGCCACAGGGAAGCACCAAGAACGGAGAGGGCGCTGCCAACGGGGAGGAAAATGGATCCCACACCTTAGCCAGTAAGTTTAGCTCATGGTTGTAAACAATCTGAATCAGCTTGTGAACTACCTGCTGTGTTTTCTTGTCTCATGCAGGATGTTATTTTGAGCTAAATGCCTGATACACAGTTATAAAACAAAGGAGTGTTGGCACATTTTCAAACATGAGTACACAAAACACCTAGATGATCTACTTTTAGTGAGGCAACAGTACAACCTGAATTAAGGTCGCAATCAAGTTATGAGTCAAAAATAATTTTTTTTGCTAATTTCACTAGAATGGCTTCATAATATTCTGAAAAATTGCATCTTGTTAAAGCTAACCTCTTTGATTTTTATTTTATTTTTTTGCATGATTCTGTCTGTTTGACCGGTTTAATCTTTCCCGTCATGGCTGCGTCACAGTTTGAGGGTTTTGTGTAAAGTGCTTTTGGTTTGGTTGGTTTTGGCCTGACTGTTGTACAGTTGTGCTGTCTGTTGTTTTATCATAAAAGGATAATTCCAGTCTGCTTTGTTTCCTCCGTTTTCCCAATGTGTTTTAAATACGATAACACATTGAGAATTTGATTCAGATTTAATAACTGCTCCCTATGGCACGATTCAAGTTTTTGAGGATCAAAATGAAGTCATCATTAGCCGGCTCCACGTGAGTGTATAACATGGGGTTGACTTGCTTGTATTTTGCAGATGACTCTGATTAGCTGCATCCAGAAAGTCCTTCTTACATTTATTTTTTTTTATGTGTTACACCCGCACAGTTTAACCAAAAGGCATTTCCAGTGGAAATGGGCCGACATATCCTCAGCATAACCATGTATAATATCCACAAAGCTTATAAAGAGGTTATACACACACAATGCGGTAATATTATGTTGAAGCACAGTACATATTACTCTGTGAGGCTCCCGACTACGGTAGCCATAATGCTCCGACAATCCATCAAGCGGTGCAGCTTCATAGCTTAGCAAAGTGGTACTAAAACATTTTTGACAGATTTTTGAGCGCCGTGTACCACATAAAATCGGTTCGGTAATAATGATGGTGCGTATGAAAGCAAAGGCATTGCGCATATGCATTTTACCCATATTCTATCACAATATTTCATTTTCTTATCATTGCCCAACATTATACCGATATTACTGTGAGCGGTATGATGTGGCCCAGCCCCACCTGCAATAGTTCATGTGTGCTGGAGCTTTAGGACTTCAAGAACGCCGATGACCTACAATTCAGTACACTGCTTAAACGCCTCCACACTGAGGATCCGGTTCCTGCTGTGTGGACACAGTGGTGTTAACCATCTGACCTCAGCACCTCGTGCTTGCGGTTAAGCCACTTTTTATGAAATAAGTTCAAGCGATGATATACTCGCGTGCTGCTGTGGGAATGCTGTGGTTTGTAGGTTGGGTGATGTCAGATTCCCATCATGACTAATCTTGTACAGTGTGATGCGGTTTGCTAGGCTGGTTGTTGCACAATAATGTTCAGTGCAAACTGGTTACTCCTTTTCAAATAATTAACTTTTGTAGCAGTAGAACAGGACTCTACTTTTTCTTCTTTGCGTTCAATGAGAGGAAACTAGCATGTGCTCATATAGCATACCTTTTCATTATTTTTTCTCATCATTCATGTATTTGCTTCTCTTTTTCTGCTGCACTGCATTCGCTTTGCTTTCTGCAAAATTGCACAGTACTTAAAGAATACTCAAGTTTTTGTTTCACGCTCCTTCCTGTAGATCACCACTCGGAGATGATGGAGGTAGACAGGGATGTGGAGATCCCCCAGAGTAAAGCCATGGTCTTGAGGGGCCACGAATCGGAGGTTTTTATCTGTGCCTGGAACCCAGTGAACGACCTCCTCGCCTCTGGGTCAGTATTACAGTTTTCTGATGCAAACGTGGGATTGTTATGGGCGAGAGGTGGCGCAGCTAAGCGTGTTTCTTTGAGACCTTCACATTATCACCTTTTCACCTTGTGATTCAAATAACCAAAATGATTTAGCTTTTCCTTCTTGTCTTTTTTATATCGGTCGTAATTTAAGTATTTTTTACCCAGAGTTCACTCTTGATGATTTATTATAAAGAGTCCAGATCTGTAAACATAGTTGATCATTTTTAAATGGTTGATTTATAAAAAGAATAACTTGTGTGGAATAGTCAGTGAGCTTTTATCACAGCTAAATGAATGTTTCTCAGTTAGAGGAGTGTTTTCCTGGACATTTGCTGGTGCACTTCAGTGTAATCACCAGAGATTTGCAGTAACACGTTACTTTTTTCAATTAACAAGTAAAGTAAGGGATTACTATTGCAAAACAGTAACTAGATTACTGTTGCTTTCCCATTAGCACGCTGTGTTACTGCGTTACTAAACCTTGATTTTGTTTATGAGAGTGTCTCATGACAATGACGTCTGAGCGTGCGACGTCTGTGGCAGCAGCAGACGTGTGCAGATCAACAATGGATAATATGGAGTGTTGGAGAGAGTACGACCATGCAGCGTTTAAAGCTGGGAAGTACTCACATTACTCTGAGTTTGATTCCGTAAAAAGTGACAAAAACATTAGCGTGTGTTGTACACTCTGTGTGGGAAGAAAAGTTCTTTCTACAGCAAAAAATTAAAATTGAAATCTGAGCAAGTACCGAGCACGCTGCCACAGGAATGTGAAATTCAGAGAAACCCCCAGAACCCCTCACTGACATGACCGCTGCAGCACCGGGCAAACCTCCAACAGCCCCACTCCTGCGAAACAGGTGAAAATTGACTTAAGAGTGACAGGACTCAGTGCTGCTGAATCTTTGACTTTATTTATTTTGTGCTGTGTTTTACTTGCTTCTATTTGAAAGAGTGAGTGTAAACACAAAAAAATATTTTATTTTATATGCTGGGATATGCAGAAAATAGCTTGAAACAAATTTCTTCAAGTGAGAGAATGTTGCATATTTTTTGATTTTTGCTCGATGCAATGTGCATCAAGTTAAAAGATTAAAACAAATAAAACAAGTTTTAAAAAGAGTTTTTCATTTGATTTATATGATGGATTATGCAGAAGAAATAGAATTGGGCTGAAAGATCTGGTGCTTTAGGTTGTGTATCTTGTTTTTTTAAAAGTATCTAAGTAATAAAGTAATTAATTACTTTTGAAAAATGGGTAAAGAGTAAAGTAACAGGATTACTTTCTTAGAGAAGTAATCAATGTAATAGTAACTATTTACTATATTCAAGTAACTTGACCAACACTGGTAAAATTTCCCACGCGTGGGACTAATAAAGGTTATCTTATCTTATCTTAATCACACAGAGGGAATCTCTTTACATGGGTGGAGTATGTATTCAAGAACAAAACATGCTGCAAATGTGACACATTTTTCAGAAAACACATGAATCCAATGCAGCAGATTTCCTGACAGGTGTTGATTTAACCCTCACTGACAGATAAAGTGACAAGAATCATTTTTGGTGTTAACCCTCTGGGGTCCAGGGTATAATTGGACGTTTTTGACTACTTTTGATTTTACCTCTATATTTCACATTTAAAAACTGTTTATCTTGCCTTGTTTGGTATCATTATTTTCAGCACAACCTCAAATATCTGAAATTTATTTTGTCATTTTGGCATACTATATTAGCACAATTAATCTAAATTCAGACAAAAAAAATTCAAAATCCGAGTAGAAAAAAGTTATATTTTTTACTGTAAAACCTGCAAACATGTTTAACGAATCATTTTCATAACTTGAAATGCAAATAGAAATTGCACATTTCTAAAAAATTATACACAAGTTTTGCAAACAACAAAGTTATACGGTACCATTTACCTAAAAATGCAGCCAAGGCCTCAGGTGGTTTTTTTTATTTAACCATTTAAAACTATTTACAGAACAATCAGGTGTGCTGCATCAAAAAGAAGGCACACAAATTATTTGTGCCAGTCCAAAAATAGTTTGTTCAGTATAAGACAGAGGAGAACAGCACAGGCCTAAACCCTGCAGGTCTGACAGCAGGAGGTGTATCAGTCTAGTTTTCCATGTGGAGACAGTGTTTACACTGGAATCTGCCTTAAATGGCTTTTTTGGAGCAACTGTGACAGTATAACTGACACACAATACAAAACAATAACTACACAACACACTAACTATAGCCTCTATACACGCTAAATATCATTAATGTCCCACATGTGAAAGCTGTGTCGTCTTAAAATGGTCATGTGATTTTGACGCGCCGGCGTGTCTGTCGACCCCAGAGGGTTAAACACAATGTTAAATTCTTCTCTATTTGCTTCAAGTGTCAAACTCTGTGCACTTTATTGCCGTTTTACAGTCAGTCTATCTATAGCTGGTGGCTTTTTTATGGCTTTAAAACCAGGCAGATAACCTCAAGAGTTGCACCTGTTAGGTAAATGGGCCGTACATTAAACGCTGTATTTGCTCTACTCTTATTTAATTACTCGGACCAAAGTTTGTTAAACTCTTAGTCAGACAAACCCACTCATAAATCAGCTCTCTCTGCGGTTACATCAGACACAAACTTCTCCACTCCTACGCTCCACTGTTTGTCAACATGGCTCAAGGGAAATGCCTGAATTTTTCAGCAGTTGAACAAGATGATATAGAAGAATAATGGATGCAATCCAACAGGATGCACAACCACTATGTGGACTAAAAAAGGCGAAAAATAACGATCATCTGAAAGAAAGCTCTGTTCAGCAGGAATTAAAAGCTGAAACATGGCCAAATAAAGCCAATAACATTTTAAACCTTTTTTCCAAATTAAACCGGCGAGTCTTAATTTATAATGGTAGGCAACCAGAGGTAAGTATTCAGCTGGCTGTTTGCTGTGTATTCAACAGTCTTGCTCCTCAGTATGTGCATGCGTCTTAAAATAAAATGGAGAAAAAAAGCGATTACATCTGGAACAATCCTGTAATATAGGAGGGTCTGCGTAAAGGGCCAAGTATCCACATAAACCAACGTGAATGAGTTTTGTGCTTGTAAAATCTCTTTCTCCTTTTTCTTCAACAGATGATGTGAAAAGTTTTGATAGGGATTTTAAAAGATTTTGGATTTGATGATTTGGGTTCAGGTTCGATAAAATGCCTTTAAACCCCAACCCTACTCAGGAGCAATGATGGTCAGTTTTATAACCTTATCAGTACCGATTTTAGAAGTCCAAGTCATGTGGGTGTGCCTAACGCAAGGTTGTTTTGACTCCTTCAGGTCCGGGGACTCGACAGCACGGATCTGGAACCTGAGCGAGAACAGCACAGGCGGATCCACCCAGCTGGTTCTGAGGCACTGCATTCGGGAAGGGGGCCAGGACGTACCCAGCAACAAAGACGTCACCTCACTAGACTGGAATGTGAGTGAAAGTGGGATTGTGTCAAGTTAAACTGTGGAACCCACACACTAACACGATCATACTGAGTGCTCTGTGTTGGTCATCTAGTCTTCGGGTGTGGGTTTGTGCGCCTGTGTGCATGCTAATAAACACAGCTTTATCAAGAGGCATTCCTTCTAACTATAGCCATGTATAAGGAGGCACTCAGATGAGGGAAAAGGCCTTTTCCATAACCAAGCTGCAAACATTTTGTGCTCTTTTACTCTTATATGTTCCTGTTACCCTTTTTTTGTAGTCAAAGTCGATGCACAACGCTTAAAATGAGCCTCATTCATTTACTCATAAATTAGTCATAATAATTTGGCTGCACCCAATGACACCACGCTTCTTTCCTTCAGAGCGAGGGGACATTACTAGCAACCGGCTCATATGATGGCTTTGCTAGGATATGGACAAAAGACGGTAAGACTCTGACATCTTCTGCATCGTAGCATTTCAGGCGTTTGTCCCTGGTCTCTTTCCAAGTGGCATTTGGTTATTTTTTTTTCAGGTAACTTGGCCAGTACTTTGGGTCAGCATAAAGGCCCTATATTTGCACTCAAGTGGAATAAGAAAGGAAACTTTATCCTTAGCGCTGGTGTGGATAAGGTGAGACACATTGCTTTTCTTTGTATTTTTTTTATTATTATTTATGAATATTTTTGGGGTGGAAATTTTCGGTCGTTGGTTTGGATTCCTGGTCTGACTAAAACAAACAATTTGAACATATTGTCTTGGGTTTGATTGGTCATTACTCAAAATATTGCCCATTTTTATAGAATCAAATTTAAAAGCAGAAAATTCGTAATGATATTCTGGTATAAAGGGAAAGTTAAAAATGAATTTGCATAAATGATAATTTAATGACAATTATTTTCTATAATTTTCTTCCTTTTAGCAATAGCAAATTGATGCCATGCACTTCTGTGTGGATATGTAACATAATCAGGTTGTTGTATGTCATAAATGTGAAGGGCAGCGTTTCATCTGAAATCACAAAGCTATTTGTTTGTCCAGTCAGAATTATCAACACATGGTTCAACATTGCCACCTAGTGTACAGAAGTATATTAAAACCTTGTCACCTGGGATTCTCATGATTGACCAAGGGCTGGCGTATTGTGATATAAAAGTTTCGTCATGTTTGTGATATAGTGGTGTAGTTTTGTATTATCTCTGCTTGTGCAGCAAGCAAAATATGAAAAGATTGCAAGATGTTAAAAAGAGAGTGTTTTATTCTATGTAATGTTTTTGATTGTTTTTTATAAATGACACTAGTTCGTCATAAAAAGCATCTCTATCTTCACACAGACGACAATTATTTGGGATGCACACACGGGAGAGGCGAAGCAACAGTTTCCTTTCCACTCAGGTGAGTGACAGCAGTCAGCTGGATTGTTCACATGACGTTTCCTGGAGTGTTTCTGTTTTTAGGCATACGTTACCTTTAGTTGAACTGCAGTGTGAGAGCACAGTGAGAAGACCTTCACTTATTTCTGTCTAGTTTTTCTGGACATTGTGACTGAGCTTTGATCCTGTGATATTCAAGCTAGTATATCTTTACACACAAGGTATCATTTCAGCTTTAAATGAATAGACAAAGCTTTTTTCTTTTGTTTTGTTTTAAAACCATATGTTGATCTGATGATCAGATCTAATGTGGAAGGAAGAAATCTTTACCGTGATTTGTTCGTTGTGATCTTCTACGTCAACTTACTGCTACATCAGCCTTAAGCTATATCTTTACCTCTCCACAGCACCCGCTCTGGATGTCGACTGGCAAAGCAATAACACATTTGCCTCGTGTAGCACAGACATGTGCATCCATGTGTGTAAGCTGGGCCAGGACAGACCTGTAAAGACCTTCCAGGGACACACGGTGAGAATAGAACACTCCAGTGTTCGCACTCCATTGCACAAGTAGGAAAACAGCTCTGGTGCTCAAATGCGCTGTGTTTGATCAGTGACGTGCGGTGACTTTTACAGAAAGACAAAGGGAGAAGGTTGTTGCCCAGAGACACAAACAGAAACATGTTCCTTCATTATTTAACAAGATAAACTGGATCAGATTAAAACATTTATGCTGCCTGTCTACACTCCTTCCTGGCTGATGACTTGTAAAATATTACTTTTCTAGTTAAATGAATATCTGCTATACCAAAATGATTTACTATTAGCTGAAACTGACAAGTGTTAGATGAAGTTTTCAAACCATTCCTTTAGGTAGAGAAGCAATAAAACACGGTATGATCTGTATAATTGCAAAACTGTATCAAGTAAGTATCAAAAATAAGAATTTTTCAAATATTGCTGCTGCATGAATAAAAATGTTTTTAAAAAGTGTAATAAAATGTGTTAATAGCAAGAAATCAATAGAATGAAAAACGTTGACAGTACGATTAACTTTCAATATCTAAAATGTTAATGACAAATAAAGGTGGAGTGTTGGTTAAACTTATATTCAGTCAAACATCATTGTCACAACTTTCCTTGGTAATGTACTAAAGCAGCTAGTATCAACCTTTTCACTCTCCATTTTCTCTACATCACACACGTTGGCCACACTGATTAGCAAGAGGCAACTCGGTGATGCTTGTTTACTTGCTAATACTAGCTGTGCTTCCACACAAAGCCCAGATCTGACTGATCTCAGAGCAGTAAAGGCAGAGCCAGGTCCGCTTGACCCGCACATTGGTCTGATCAATTGACAATAGCAGACTGCGGCCACAAGATGGCAGTAAAGTAAAGGTGAATGCAAACTGGCAGGGAGCTTTGTGACAGCTGTCTGAGATGAAAGGAGAGGGATCACTTTACAGTGGTTCAGTTAAATTTATGTCTATTATTAGGTTTGACTATATTTAGATGGAACATTACTGTGTTACATAATATCAGGGTGGCACTCCCTCCTTTTGGTTTCTTATAAAAGTTATAGTGCTCATAAAGTGCATTCAGTCAGTGGTAAAAAAAATATATCTACAATTATCGTACCATTATGTGTCACTGCCATTATCATTTGTCTCTGTCATAAGCTGATGAGCCTGATAGGCTGGTTATTAACTAATTTATTTCATAGAAATATGGACTATGCAGGTCAACACGATTGTTCTGCAAATTGTTATGGCAAAGAGTCTGTTTTTTTTACCCTTCTCATTTTTGGCCAGTTTGAAAATAAAAATGTGAGCTGGAGTAAATGAAACCCTAACCTTGGAAACGATTTGTTTAAAGTCTTGAATTTAGAAGAGATTTTTGTTTGGTCATAAGCCAGTGTTATCCTCATGTAGTGTATTGTATTATCTGTGGCCATGTGCGCCAGTCAGACTTTTTGTTTACACTCACGTCTTTCTCACCCTAGAATGAAGTGAACGCCATAAAGTGGGATCCTACTGGCAGCTTGCTGGCCTCCTGCTCCGATGACATGACCCTAAAGGTCGGTTCACTCAACGCAATGAGGCCTAACGGAAAAGAACAAGCCGGGCCTTCATAGGAACACTGTATCCTAAGTAGGGCTGCTCAATTAATCGAATTTTAATCACGATTACGATCTGGGCTTTCAACGATCATTAAAAATGACTGAGCCGATTATTAGCCCCTCCCTCGTGCTTTACTCTCGCGCTGCTCCGTGTGGCAAATCGAGCGGACCTCTCTGCATTTCGAACACGTGTCACAACAATTAAGAGGACCCGAAGGAAGCTCAGAAAGCTAATCAGAAGTTATTTGGGGAGGAGAGTGACTGCCGTTGGTTGAAAAGAGAGGTAAAAAAAACTTCAGTGGTGTGGAAACATTACAACACAGAGCAACACTGCAAAGTTCACTAAACATAGATGTTTACATTTTTCATTTATTTCTTATATTGCAAACATTTGCACTGTTATCAGTATTTGCACACTATTTTATATTATTTTTTAAAGTCATTATTCAATACATTGTTATTGTTAACCTTTTAAAGCCGGTCAGAGCAGCATGCTCTGTTTTGTGTAACTATTTTTAAATCCCTGTAGAACCTGAACCGCGTAAGCTAGCACAATAAATTTTTTTGCATATGAAACCGGAGGAGTTGTACTTACATCTTATGCCATCAGCTTGTCCTCGGTCACGGTTTCCTTCCACATATAGCTTTGCAAAAATTGCATAAAAAGCGCTTGCAGGAACAAAAACATAATATTCCAGAAACAGGCTTTGCCGATCCGATCAGCTGTTCGTAACACTTCCCACATTGAAAAAGACGTCAACACGAACTATCGCATTTCCTGCCCGAAACCGGAAGTGACGTCATTTTCGCGGAAAATGTAGTTTTTTACTTGTAGGCCTTAAAAGCCTATACTGGTGTTTTCATAAGTCATGTTTGACTTTTCTGAATAGTTTCTGGGATGCTTAGAACTCGAATTGCACTGCTGGAAATATTTTATTTTGATGCACCTGCTGTTTTCTTTGCAAATTTGCATCATAGGATTGTTTTTGTTTTTCCTGCAGTATATAAAAATTGCTGTATCTCCAAAATAAAACTATGAAGACACTCAAAATAAATTTCCTGTTGTTGTAAACTATTTTTTGCAACTTTTTTGTATTTAAAGTTTTGAGGGATAAACCTCTTAAATTTCTCCAAGTAGAAATATATGTAAAAACAAAAACGATTTTCAATTTTTTTTGTAGTTTATTGCACTTTTTTGCAATTAATGTAGTTACTATGGACTTAATACATACATATTTTTAAAATATGGGCTATAACAGTTGTATTGATGTATAGAAACTTGAAATGCTCCCACAAATGGCACTACAACATGTAAAAAAAAATATATATATATAAGCTCTGGTGGACTTGGTTCTATGGTAGATCTTAAAGGCTTAAATAAATATCGTCAAATAATTGAGATCTCAATTTCAGTGAAAATAATCGTGATTATCATTTTTGCCATAATCGAGCAGCCCTACATCCCAAGCGTACATTACAAGTCAAATTAATAGCTTTTAAATGTTGCCTTGATTTTCTCTCATATAGATCTGGAGTATGAAGCAGGATTTGTGTGTCCATGACCTCCAGGCCCACAGTAAAGAAATCTACACCATCAAGTGGAGCCCCACAGGCCCTGGGACCAACAATCCCAACGCCAGCCTCATGCTGGCCAGGTAAGAATCGAATGAAACGTGTTCCTAGTTTTTCATCTTTTTTTCTCTCTATGTCATGTGTCAAAGGGGATTTCTATTTATAAGGGAATGTTAATGGTATGTAAATTGTTGTTGGTGGAACACCTTTAGAAAACAGTCACAGATATAAACAGATTGTTTATAGTAAATGGCCTTTTTAATACTAACATTTTGGGAGTTTTTCAGTTAAACGTAACTATGGCATGAGAGTTAAATGCTTGTTTGTTTGTCTGAGATCTGATGTATCCCTTTGAAAGAACAGTCCAGAGAAAAATGTTTGCTTTCAGTTGGATGTGCTCAGGATTTGGACATGGTTCACTACACAATGCAAATAAGAGTTGGCTGTGTTTTTCCTTGTATTTTCTCTGAATTCAGAGTTCATTAACTGCATGTTTAACTGAATAAAGAATCATCCATCCATCCATTCGCTTCCTTCTTGCTGTGAGGCAACAGTGCTAACCACCGTGCCGCCTTCTGAATAAAGAATCATTGTAAATAATTAAAGCTGAGAATGAGTTATTGGTTTGTTATTGGTAACATCGAGCAGCCTAAAAAAATTCATCTTCATTTCTGCGTCTGGGATAATGCAGCTCTGCCATGTTTGCTTCCCATCAATTACTCTCTGGACTGGATTTTTAGATTTATTTAGGGGTGGGTTTCAGTTTCCGGTTTAAGTAGCAGTCATGCCACTGACACAGTGTATTTTATATCTGGCACATGGTTCTTAACACATGACCCTTTGCATCCTCTCTCGTTCCCCTCTCTCTGCAGTGCGTCGTTTGACTCAACAGTGCGCCTGTGGGACGTGGAGCGGGGCGTGTGCATCCACACTCTGACCCGCCACCAGGAGCCAGTCTACAGCGTGGCCTTCAGCCCAGATGGCAGGCACCTGGCCAGCGGCTCCTTTGACAAGTGTGTCCATATCTGGAACACTCAGGTCTGTGATGCTACCTTCAAATTAAAAGCTGATCTGGTAATACATGCTGAACCACAATATTCTAAAGATGTTGCCTGTTATTGATGAATCTGTGTGTGTCTCTCCAGACGGGTGCTTTAGTCCACAGCTACCGAGGGACAGGTGGGATCTTTGAAGTGTGCTGGAATGCAACAGGGGACAAAGTAGGAGCCAGCGCATCTGATGGATCGGTGAGTTTTGCTGCCTGAGAGCTTCATCACTCCCAGTAGTATCCACCCACATGTGCTCTAGCCTGTGTCTACAACTTTCACACCACCTTCCTGACCATAGAAATGTGTCAGCCCCATTTAATATAGGTCTTACCAAGCTGTTCTGATAGAATGGGCTAGGGGTCTACTACAAGTACATCTGCTGTTAGTATTACAGTAGCAGAAGTATTTGGTCATTTCTCTCGCTTAGAAACTTTCCTAAGCAAAATTGACTGTTTGACTGTAGCCATGACCTGAGCTGATTATTCTAGGAGCTGTCAGCTAACAGCCTCTCATAAATGGTGAATTCAGAACTTTCTTCATATTTGTTGGATTTGTTAGCACTTTTGGCAGCCATGAATAAAGCACTTCAATCTAAAGGCTTCATTTAAAATGCTCGATCGGGGCAAGATTTATGGTCATCATGGCATCAAATAGCAGTCTGTCTGTTTACAGATGCTTCTTAACCAAACTCTAAAAGGTTTTTATCTGCATTTGAATGAAACTGCAGAAGTCCCATAAGAGGTTACAAGGAAGCGCAGAGTTGCATATAGACTTTCTTATGAGGGGATTGAAAAGGCTGGAGTACATCTACTGCTGAATTATTTAATTGGATTATAGGCTGATATTGATAGCAGAATTGTTAATTGGCCTTAGAGTGCTGGCTTTTATGTGAGCTAAAAGCTCTGTTGTGTATGAAGCAGAGCTCTGTTAGTAGTGTACCTTTCCCCAGGCACACTGAAAATGTTGTTCTTGTAGGTCTCGTGCTTTTCAAACATTATGCCTCTGCATTATGAAGTATTTGTCTCTTGCAAACTGACACAGCAGTGGGAATGGAAACATTCGACTAGTAAGCAGCTACGTGCTAAGCAGTAGGAGAAAATGAGGAACAGTGTAGATATGTTTCCTGTTTTTTGGGGCACAAAGCCAAAAAAAGGGAAAGGAAATTTGAACGGTTTGTATTTTTGTATTATTTCAAAGTACCCCTCAAGTTGAAATGCTCAACTTATGCATTCTATTGTTCATTGTGGCACAAAGTTACACTGCTCTAGCAAGGTACTGTATAGTATGTTTATAACATAACATCCCGGACTGGACCTTCCTATATAGAGTATGTGTCCTCTATATGTACCTATCTTGGACCACTCCTGAGAAAGACTTAAAAATGTTCCTTTTCTATTTTGCAGTTTGAAAGGTAGTTCGGTTTTATTTTGAAATCCATGCTTTTATTTTGCAACAGGAAACTGGCGCAAAACCGTTAAAGGGCTTGTTAGTAACGTTTGTTTTAGGATATGATAAATAGTGTGCCTTAAAGTAGGGCTGCTCGATTATGGCAAAAATGATAATCACGATTATTTTCACTGAAATTGAGATCTCGATTATTTGACGATATTTATTTAACAATAACAATGTATTGAACAATGACTTTAAAGATTGTCATAAAATATTATAAAATAGTGTGCAAATACTGATAACAGTGCAGATGTTTGCAATATAAAAAATAAATGAAAAATGTAAACATCTATGTTTAGTGAACGTTGCAGTGTTGCTCTGTGGTGCAGCTACAACACTGTAGCAAAGTTTACACACTGTGTCTACTTGATCCACGTCTGACTCCACCAACCCATAATGTTTCCACACCACTGAAGTTTTTTTTTTTTTACCTCTCTTTTCAACCAACGACAGTCACTCTCCTCTCCAAATAACTTCTGCTTAGCTTTCCGAGCTTCCCTCGGGTCCTCTTAATTGTTGTGACACGTGTTCGAAATGCAGAGAGGTGCGCTCGATTTGCCACACGGAGCAGCGCGAGAGTAAAGCACGAGGGAGGGGCTAATAATCGGCTCAGTCATTTTTAATGATCGTTGAAAGCCCAGATCGCAATCGAGATTAAAATTCGATTAATTGAGCAGCCCTACCTTAAAGTGAAAAATATGTACATTTCCTGTGCCAGTTAGTACCTGGCTGACAGTGGCACAAGGTTTATTAATGTTTCCTTTAATGGAATAAGTTATGTGCAATCACAATGTCGTTTAATAGAGTTTATGTGTAGTTGTAAGTTAGTGAGGTGATATAGTGAATTGAGTGATGTAAATTTGATTTGTATGCTATATGTGAGCAGGAGAAATTTATTTCCTTGATATTTTGATGTTATGGTAGTTATATTGTTGGTTTTGTTTTGCTCCTAGCTCTTACGGTGTCTTCACTGAATATTTCAATAAAATTTTTTCCAATAAAACCTCTGTGAAGCATCAGTATAAGAGACCATCATTCAGTCAGGGATGCTACACCGTTATCAGCCAAAACAGTAGAACAATGACACAAACTGCTTAGCGGCTCGTCCTGTGACTCTCAAACTTTATTTTTAAGCTGAAACAAGTTGCCATATTTTCTACGAAACACAATTTCCATACGCTACCTAAAATTTGTGTTGATCTGTCACCACAAACCGATTTAAAGTGTGACAAACAAAAGCGGTTAGGTTAAGTGAAGCAATGCTTTTGAAGTGTGAAAGGCATTTTGTGCTTTGTTGAAACAGGCTGCAATGCTGCTGATTTTTATCACTTTGGTTGATCGTGTGCTCATTTGTGGACTTTTTTGTAAAGGGCAACTGACATTTTGTTGTAGAGATGATTTTGCTGTGTGTGAAGAAGACTGATGTAGAGTGCTGTGGAGGTTTCTAAACTGAGGAACTTGTTTGTTTGAAATGTTGATTCTATATGTTTTAGAAAATGGCCTGAAATCTATAGATTTCAGATTTAAGCCATCTCAGCTTCAACCCTCCTTTTCCGCAACCTACTTCTTCAGAATTATACATCCTGTCTTTCACACATGCTCTGAATTAAGGATATGACTGGCTGAGTAGCGTCACGTGGAACGAGTTCCTGCCATTGGTCTGTTTGCGTACATACACTGATTATCATAAAGACAAAGGAAAAAGTGGTGCAAGTTAAAATAAGCTTACTGTACATATGAGAAAGAGTCAAACAGAAAGGGTCTTAAGTTGGACTGTTGGTGCGCTAAACTATATGTTTATTATGCTGAAATGCCCACTAGTCTTCTTCACACTGCAGTGCGTTCAGTTTCCACAGTATCACACAGGGTTCGTATGGGTGCTTGAAATCCTTGAAAATGCTTGAATTTTAATGTTGTCTTTTCAAGGTTTGAAAAGTGCTTGAATTTTAGATGTGGTGCTTGAAAGTGTAACTGTATTTCATTCACCACAAATAACTATCTGGTTGAATAGTTTTCTTATCAGACAGAGAAATAAAATGAGTCGCAAAATGTAAAAGCAAAATTTCGCGGTCTGGGCTGCCTTGCGCCTCCGTCTCTTTCAACGTGTGGCCCCGCCCCTCCCTCGAACAGTCGGGCATGAGTGCGCTAACATACCTGTAGGCTGCTGTTTTAATGAGTGTTTGATGGAACAAATGGCGGAGTTTGCGCTCTCCAGTCGCATGATAGGTGAGTGCTAGTAAATAATTTTCCAGTATGCATACGTTACACACTCTATTTTTTTTTTTTAATTATGATTATTATTTTGCTGTCAAACTCGCTGGAGAAATGATTGAAACGCACTGAGTGTGATGCAGTATGGCAGCGCTATTATGGAATATGCTGTGAACTTAGCTAACATTACATAGCAGTAATATGAGTTAATTTACTCAAGTGAAAGCTTTAAACATTAGCCCGATACATAACTAGCCAACTTAGGCTTTCTGATTAACCCTCTGGGGTTGACGGGCCCAGAGTCTCCATTTCAACTTGGGTCGAACGTGCGGATTTCAAACTATGTACCAGGTTTTAAATTGTGTTGATAGGCCACGTAAAACCGATGTTTTTTTTGTTTTGTTTTTTCTGAATAAAACTGTCGTTTACTCCGGGAAGAAACGGTAAAAACAGCGTTTTCTAAGGAGAGCGCTAGCAAACACGCTTTGATTGTGAGTGAAAAAATAAAAAACACTCCTTCCCTATTGGTGGAAAAATGTACCGTGTGGAACAATCAAAAAATGATATGGCAACATGTGGCATTTGGTTGTTTGGGAAGAGGGGGAAGTTTTAGCAGTGAGAGAGAGAGAGTGAGCGAAAGAGAGAGCGGGAGTTTTGCTACGTGAGAGGTTTGTGACGTTTGCCGTGTTTGGAGTCTCAAGTTAGTGTGTTGTCTTGTGTAGTTAGTGTGGTGTAGTCGTTGTTTTGTTTTGTGTGTCAGTTCTACTAGTTAACGTCACAGTTGCTGCAAAAAAGCCACCAAAGGCAGATTGCAGTGTAAACACTGAGTGACACGCCTGCTGTCAGACCTGCAGGTTTATCCCTGTGCTGTTCTCATCTGTGTCATAGTGGACACAAACTATTTTTTAGAGTTGCATAAATAATTTGTGTCTTCTTCTTTGATGCAGAACACCTGATTGTTCTGTAAATAGTTTGAAATGGTTATATAAAAAAAAGTCTGAGCCTTGGCTGCATTTTAGGTAAATAGTACCATATAACTTTGTTGTTTGCAAAACTTGTGCATATTTTTTTTAAAACGTACAATTTCTATTTGCATTTCAAGTTATGAAAATGATTAGTTAAACAAGCTTGTGGTTTTTACAGTCAAAAATATCACTTTCTACTCATGTTTTAAGCACAATATTTAATATCAAAATGAGTAAATAACAGATTGGCAAACTGCCTGTTTATTTAAGGAAGATGAACAAAGTACAGTGGAATTGTACATAATAATATGACAGATGATAAATTCAATAGATTTTAAGTAGATGCTTGTGCGTTCTTAAAGTCTCATATGCTGAATTGAACTATGTGATCTGTTCAAAGCCTCCCAGTCAGTGCTGTTCTCCATGCCTGTCTGACTGTACATGATGTTATTAGCACAAAAACACTTTAAAGGTGATCATTTAGGACTTCAGCAATAATACAGACAGCAATGTAATTAGTGATAGAACAGTTTTATTGGGAATTAACTTAAAAAACAAACAAACATCTGTCTCCTATTTTCTGTCACACAGGAAAGAAGCATCAATATCTGATGAGAAGACTTAATTATTTCTTTTGGGGGGGGGTTTTCAACAGGAGAAGAATATCTCTAACAAGTTGATTTGTTCACATTTTCACATCTTAATTTTTAAGTGAAATGTGCATTTTGAGTTTATACTCTATGTATATAAGGCGACCGTCCTTTTGCAGTATTTTTGTGTGGTGCGTTTTTCTGTGTTAACAAAAGGGGAACAAAGGTGTTAAGTTCACCTAGGATGATTTGTTTTAATTTTCACATGGTCTTACTGAGGTGATTCGAATTGAAACATGCACTTTTTTTGGGAGAGGGGGTGAGGGGACAACACAGTTGTCTAAACATGCCACAGGGGAAGTATGGCCCTCTGCTCTTTTTGGGTTCTGATTGGAAAATATTTGTACACCTTGAAGCGTTCACACAGCTTCTGACTACGGCAGAAACTGAAACTGGGTGACGTTTTGTCTAACCACATATGCCTTCCTGTTTGACAGGTATGCGTACTAGACCTGAGAAAATGACACTCATCGGGGGGAGCCATGGACCGACTACGAATGTGTACATAGCCAAAATGACTGTCCCTGCCTGTCCGCCACACTGCTGTAGTCCCACAGATGCCATGGCCCGCTGTTACAGCCAACTGGAGCCCTCCATCAGACATAGACCCAAGGACCACACCATGGCAACAAACAGTTTATATGCAAATGCATCAGATATGCCAGGTCTGCATGGACATCAGTCTTTGCTCCTCAGACCTGCAGGAGTTAAACATTTCTTTGTTATCACACAGTATAAATGTGTCACCACAAGCAAACCAAAACACCAGGATTCCTCTTGATTTCGCTCTTTTTGTCCTTTGTATCCGACTTGTAAAGACTTTTGTTCTCTGGTGTGTGCATATTGCATATGTCAGCATTTAGTGTCCTGTGGACATTGTTGTGTTGAGTTTGGACTTTATTGGTCTCTGTAAATTACATGTGAGATGGGAGAGAGGAGATGGGAGATGTTTTTTTGTTTTTAAAGAAAAAAGATGTTTGTCTTTTAAAAAGTGGATGTTCAGAGTTGTTCATTTGGAGATAAATTCATTTACTGCAGTCTTTGAGGTTCAAAAATGCAGGTGTATAGTTTTGTCAACTCTATTTTTATCCAGTAGGTTTGTTCCATTTTTTGCCATTTAAAAAAAACAAACAAAAAAACTAAATATGAAGCAGTTAATCAAAGGTTAAACTGTCCTTTGTTTGCAACCTTTATCCTCAGAAATGGTTTTCAGGTAATCACAGTTCATCAGGTTGTGTTGGTGCCCTGAAGAATTCAAAATCTCCTGGCTGAAAAATGATCTGTGTAGCTTTTAACACTGATGACAGCAGTGCTGTTGAAGAGCGGTCAGCTTCAGGTTCACGTCTTTGAAACTCACCTCGTCCTTGATCTGTCGGTGCAGATATCACTTGGTGACAGAGACGGGAAAACCAGCCCATTACTTCATCGGATTTGTACAATTAATAGTCCTAATTGCACTTGTTTTCTCAGTTAATGGCTTGTTGCTGTCCATTGTTTTTCATAATGCAGCTTTGTTGGACTAATTGCTTCTCGATACCGGAAACAATTAGACCAAGATGATCTGGAGTATTGTTTCCTGCTGTTGTCAGGTAGTAGTTGACCAGCATTAACACACACACACACACACACACACACACACACACACACACACACACACACACACACACACTCTGGAGACAGGCTGTGTTCAGGCCTATGCACGGATAGACGGTGCTTTTGTGTGCAGTGTTCAGAGTTGGCATTTTGAGTCAAGTCTGCTTTTGAAAAGCAGACTCAGCATAGGACTCGTAACGTGTTGTTAGCTCAAATGACTTAGAGCGCGTTCAGTAGGAAAAATAAGGTTAGCAGTGTCTCGTCTGGCTCGTTTTTGAGGCAAGTCTGTGTTGTTAAAATGCAGACTCTCAGCATAGGACTTGTTGTAACATGGTATCTGCATATAATATATATAAATACATTTATGAATATATATCTATGCTACTACAGGGGTTTTTTGTGTGTGTATGCCACTCCTACGTTATGGGTGGATTTTAAAGTAACCTTTTCAAGATTCATGAAATACAGTACGTGATGTTCTTGTGCATCACTGATAGTTGTGACCACGAGGAATGGTTTTTATTTATAAAACATCATTAAACAGTTATAACTAAATTTAAAAGAAAAAGACAAAATGGTAGATTTTTTGATTATTATTATTTTTTTAACCTGCACTTTAGGTGCAAATGGAGAAACTGTCTCAGGCACATCTGATTTAAGAAGTCCCAGAGGACGGCTCAAATGATTTAGAACGCGTTCAGTTGGAAAAATAAGGTCAGCGGTGTCTTGTCTGACTCGTAGGACACTTCAACGTTGAGATAAACTAACTTCATGGCATTCCCGGTCTCATCTCGTAGCCATAACAACACCCTCGGCTAGATATGTGCACACACGTCGCTGGATAATTCGGAGGTTTTGTTCAGCATGTTACTTGTCTTTTTTTTTTTTTTTTTTTTTTAAAATACTGAAGCTGAACTATGCTGAAGTTTGCTTTAATACAGTCAGCAGTACTTGGAGTAAATCACAAGGACACTATTTCAAATGATGTCTATGACGGTGGAATGGTATTTTATAATGGTTTGTTTTTAGACGATAAGCTTTTTACGCTGCATTCAAGTGTGTTCGCGATTTTATTTTTTAATTTTTGTTCCTTCCAAAAGTACTAATTCTATCTTTGCTAAGTTGGAGAGCCCTTGAAGGTTTTGTACTGATCAAAACTTTTGTAATTTTGATTTATTTGTAGCTGTATACTCAAAAGGAACAACAAAAAGAAAAATCTGGATTTAATTGTCGATGTATTATAACACAACGTGTAAATACTGATTTTAAGATTTGTTGGGGTTTTTTTTCGTCTTTTCCCTTGTACTCTCTTTCTCTCTCACTCACATGGCTGCAGTCTGCAGCCTCCTGATCAGACTGTTGTAATATCACTCAGATCTCAAGGTCTAGAATAAAATCTATTTTGATAATATCAACGTCTTTGATCTTTTGCTTGTTGATTTCCTGTGTCTGAGTCATTTCTCTGGTACTAATTGAATGAATGTGTGTGGTCAATAAGCATTCTTTCACCTGTGTGTGAACAAATGTCACTCGCTGCCCTTAAACCTGAAACCAGTTTTTTGTCTAGTTTTGTATTTGTTTTTTACTGATGGTGTTCCAAGCATTTGACAGCTAGGATGACTGGAGAGAAACGGCAATGCGTTACAGCATTTAAGAAACAAGTGTGGTCTTCAAAAAAGTGACGGCAAACATGAGGAAGGGTTTTTGTTTTTTGTGAGCAAGCTTAAATTTAATTTTATGTTAGGAAACTAGATTAAGATCTGATGTTTCCTGTAGCAAACAAAAATATTGTTTTCTAGACCAGCGTTGTGGCGCATGGAAATCAGATATCCAGTACCTCAAAATATTGTTTCCTAAGACCAATCAAAACCAATTTCCATATAGAAATGTCAAACATAACAAAACATGTTAATTCATGCACTCAGTACTTGGCTGGAGCTCATGGGAGTTGGCTGGTTATGACCACTGGAAAGATGAGAACATGGTTGTCATTTTTGGCACTGTGGGCCAGTGCAAAGTCCCGCTGTAAAAGGAAATCTCCATAAAAAATTTATTCGTTTATTTCCTATGAAGTGCTCTGAAATGGTGTTGACTTTGGACTCGATAAAACACAACAGACCAATTGTGACCAGCATCAGTTGATCACACGGCACCTAAAATCCCCACAGACTGGACTTAATATGACTCCAGACTTTAAGACCTGGATTTCCTTTTGACCACTGGGCAAACACTTCTTTTATTTTTCTTACATCAGATAAAACACTTCTGATGTCTCTGCTTCAAGTGCGTGCTCATATTGTAAAGTGACAGTTGTAGCAACGTCTGCGCATGGTGGTTCTCCAAGCACCAACACTGGCCTCAGTCCACTCCTTGTGAAGTGCTCTCAGGTTCCTGAGATTCCTCTCGGGGCTGTGATTTTCCCTTTTCCTAACACGGTTTTCCCTTCCTTTCAATATCCTGTGAATATGCTTCAGCACAGCTCTCTGAGAACAGTCTGACAGAGTGTTAGGGCCACATTTAGAAAGAAGACTTTTGTTGATCGTTTTTAGAATAAAGCCTTTTCATTTTATACAAATACACTCTCCCAGGTTTATGTGCTTTTTCCGTCTGATCAGACGCAGCTTTCTGCACCATCTTTTCAGCATCCCTATACTTATCACCACAGAAATCATTTCCTTCCTTGTTACAAAAGTGATTCTGAAATACGATTTCACAAACTCTGAGAGTATAGCAGCCGTGGCACTTTGTCTTGAAACAACAACCGTTACCTCCTTTTGACTTTATTCTCTAAATCAATTCTATTTGTTTTCTTAATGTATCTTAATGTGTTTTCTTAATCTTAATTCTTCCTAATACTCCTTTTGTAGAATAGTCATAAGCCGAAATGAAGACAAAAGTATTATATAACATTTATTTATTATATAACATGTTCCGAACAAAGGAAATATATGAAAATTTATTTATTGAGATGCATTGGTATTTCTATGAACAAAGCGCCAACTCTCACTTCACTTTGTTTCATAGGACTGAAAAGTCAGCTCTTGCGACGGTGAAGCAATATTCCATTGCTTCAATATTTCTTGTTAAGCACCAATGCGATCTCCCTTTCGCCCCCGTACCTGGGGGCGTGGTGCTTAAGAAGTTAAAGTAAAGGAAACAATGTATGTGGTATAGGCGAAGGCAGAGCCGTGCGATCTCTCGCCTGTGACGTTTGTGGTGAGGTTATTTGCCACTATAATGCGTGTGGATGTCATGGTGAACTTTTACTGATTTCTTCAAACTGTTCTTTTTTTCAGGCTGGAAACAGAATACATTCTTGAAAAGCAACAACTGGTTACACAAGTTTGAATTTTTTGGTTTTTCTCTAATACACACGGGCTGAACAGCGTACATTGAAGCTTAAATATACCACGTGTTTTAAATTAACAAGGCCTGTTAACCACTTGAGAGTGATCAGTGGTCGTTATTGACTAGAACTAGCATATTCTTTTTGACAGTATACTTTTACACATAAAGACGACCCCCGTACCCTTAATGACGAGTTTTGACGCCTCAGTATATATCTATAAAGATGTGGTTTCTGGGTTTTCCCGAGGGTAGCTGCATAGAGACCACCCTCGCCAACTTCGTATGGAAACTCAGTCATCTTGTTCTATGAGGATGTCTGAGACGTGGCACAAACAGCTCAGTAGGGTTACTTCTTTTTCTTCAGCTTTCCAGAGTTAAAGAGTTGAAAGATTTGTCTGACAGCACTCAGACCAATAGAAAAGTCCAAGAAACACAGTGATCCATTTTTAGCGTCACATATTTGTAATATCAGCTCAAATCTTGACTGACGTTCATGTGTCATAATATGTTTATTATGACACATTTATTATGACACTCCTGGACTTTGGGTTAAATAATGTGACAGATATTTGAAGTCATGTCAAAGCTGAACACAGAAAGCACCAACACTGGCCTCAGTCCACTCCTTGTAAACTCACATTCACTTTATTCTGTTCCAGCAGATGAATGATTGTAACCTGATCTTTTTCTAGGTAGCGAGTCAATGAGACATGAAAGCTGGCATGCTTTAAGCCCCATATACATGAAAACTAAAAAATAAAGGAAAGATTCTTAGAAATAGCTGTAAGCGACAAACAAAACTTCAGTTCCTGTTAAACATTTTGAGTCTCACAGATAATATCTTACAGTCAGATTGCCATGAAACTAGAAACTAGATTAACTACATCCAGTTTACGTTGGGGGTTTTAAGTGGCATGAATGTCACCTAAAACTGATCCATCTTTTAGATAGACAGATCAACATGGTTACTTGTCATGCCCTAAAGACACCACTTTTAACTGTCATTAGAATTTGCATGTATTCAGTTGAGCGTTTATACTGATAGAATCAGAGTTGATAGATCATGGATAATAATCTGTGCCTGACGTTCAAACTTAGTAGTGTTCAGTGGAGGGGAAAGTGGTGTGGACTTGCTATTATTATTTACAAAAGTTGTGTTTTGAGGCCTCTCACACTTGCTTTGTTAGTTTTCTTCAGCCCGTCACATGGCAGAAACATGAGACCTGGCAACCCTGATGGATCTGACGCTAACTAAACAAAAGCAGTTGTCGCTATGGAATCATTATTACTATTGTTATTATTGCTGGGTGATTTTTATGCCTGGTCGCTACAGGTGTCACTACTTTTTTTGTGGGGTGATGTGAGTCCTTTGGTTTATAAGATTAGATATCTATGGCATTGATAAACTCTGTTTCACAATGAATGACCCGTTTCAACAAGGCATAGACAAGAAACAGACTTTTAACAGACGGGTTTTTAACAGACTGTGTGCTTCCATGCAAATTAGCCCCCCCTCGCTCCGAGAGGGCGTTTGGTTCCTTCCAGCTACCGTGCGATCAATTAAACGGTGAGGATCGTGGAGTAGTCGGCAGCGGCTGGGGGAGTTCTGACCGTACTATAAGGTACGCACAGCCACTTACATTACACGAATTTAATGCTTTATTTCAGTTTCAAGATATTGAGAATTTCTTTGGTTAAATTAATTTTAGTGGTTAATCGCCATTAAGCTAGCTCATCGTCTTCTGTTGCTACTTGAAGAGAAGTAGTTTTACATTTAAGAGCGAGCGCGCGTGCGAGAAACGATAAAACTTTGGTTCCGTGTCAGTTATCTTTTCACAATAAAGAGATAGCAAAGTGTTTCCCATAGATTCATAAAAACACTTAGAGACAAAACAGGAAAGACAAAGTCAAGTGTTTCGGATGCTTTGAACCGTTTAGAGTGTCCGTTTGTAGCCGGTTTAAATCGGTGTTAATTATGAGTGTGACTCGGTCAAGCAGTGAAGCAATTTTGTTGCTTCCATCGTTAGTGGGAATTGTTTTCTTATATGTTTTGCAAAGCATCCTGCTTTCCCGTTGAGTGTTGAAGTGTGTTCCTTTTTAGGAATTATCTTGCGATCATGGTTGGGCTTTTATCATCATTGTTTGGGGAAGGGAACAGAAATGCATGGCATTGCTTTGTTCAGTGTACAGTGTCACAGTGGCTGCATTTTAAGCCTCAGCATTGAAGTTGTTGCTTTCTCTTGGTTGTAGGTTGTAATAATGCTTTTAAATACTGTAACGTTTCCTTTTTTCATATGAGGTCTATGGGGGCTGACTCGTTTTTATGCTAGCTTCAAGTGGGACATAGAGGAACTGCAGAAACTTACATAAAATATACATATATCTATTGTTTGAGAGCCTCTCTTGTAGATTATTTTTCAGATATGAGTGCACTTTCTGTCTTGTCTCTGATAAAAGAGGGCAGGGGTTCACAGACTTAGAAAGAAAAATATTGGTGATCATTTTGAGAATAAAGTCTAAATGTGCAGATTACAGTTGCTGTTTTAAGATAAACTGCCACGTTAGTTATACCATCTACAAAACGGCTTGTTTAGATGAGTTGGCAAAACAAATTGATCTGCCATCTTGTGATAAAACTCTGGATAAAACAACATCCTGTTTAGTGGACACGGGTGTAATCCATGACATTCTTATATCTGTGTGCCAGACTTTTCATTTTATACCAATACACTCTCCCACATATTTTTTTCTCCATCTGATCAGATTCAGTTTTCTGCACCATCTTTTCAGCATCCCTATACTCACCACAGAAATAATTTCCTTCCTTGTTGCTAAAAGTGATTCTGAAGTGCGATTTCACAAGTACAGCAGCCGTGGCACTTTGTTTTCAAACAACAACCGTTACCTCCACATTTTGACTTGTCAAAAGGTGGTGACTATTTCAACAGTTTAAATGTAACGTCACAAAGTGTTTGAAGATTTCCTCCCGCTCATCTGAATCGTTGTCAGTTTCAGCCCCTGAGGGACTCCTGCGTTTAGAGTAGACACTTGTCTGTTGATATTTTAAAATGAGATTGTTCATAAAACAAAACGAGACAAGAAACATTTTATTCGTCCCATATTTAGCAAATCCATTTGTCTGTCTTTTGTGCTGTTTCCAGTTAAATAAGATTTGAGGGATTTGTAAATAATTAGCTTTCTGTTGCATTTTCCATTGTTCAAAAAGTGTTTTATTTATACATTAGTAATCTTAGTAATCGACTGAGTCTCTTTAAAAGTTAGTCATTATGTCTTAAAATGAGAAAAGCACAAAGAGGAAGTTTAATACTTAAGCCATATAACTGTAAAAATCATTTGTTCTGTTAGTGCAAATGGAATGAAACTTCCCAAAGGTGGGTATTTTTTTCAGATTTTTTAATTTTCAACATCAGCTCCTTAATAATGTCAATAATATTCACTATACACCAAATTGTTCCTCTTGACTCTAGCGTGGCCATTTTTGGCCAATTGAAACCCATTATAACCACCTTTTTTGATTCCTTGTTA